GTTACTATTCAGTTTGACCTAATCAGAGTTTGCCATGAATTCTTACCTTCTCCTTTCTCCTCAAAGCATTAAGCTAGGTCATTCAGATGTCTCAGCTAAGCCAGCTGCATGTTTTAACAGTTTTCATGGCAATGTCCACCTATATTTGGATATTCAGAGTCACCCTTGCTGATGCATTTAGACCTCTTGGCTTATTTTTTTTTTTTTTTAAAGATTTTATTTATTTATTTGACAGAGAGAGACAGCGAGAGAGGGAACACAAGCAAGGGGAATGGGAGGGAGAAGCAGGCTTCCCGCTGAGCAGGGAGCCCCATGCAGGGCTCGATCCCAGGACCCTGGAATCATGACCTGAGCCGAAGGCAGACACTTAACGACTGAACCACCCAGGTGCCCCTCTTGGCTTATTTTTTGAGGCAGTTTTAGGCTCACAGCAAAATAAGAGGAAGGTACAGAGATTTCCCATATACTCCTTGCTCCCCCACTGCCAACTTCCCCCACCAGTGTGGTGCATTTGTTAACCATTGATGAACCTACATTGACACGTCCTAATCACCCAGTGTCCATACTGTAGGGCTCACTCTTGGTGTTGTACATTCTGTGAGTTTAGACAAATGTATGATGGCGTGTGTCCATCATTATAGTATTTTCACTACCCTAAAAATTCTCTGTGCTCTGCCTGTTCATCCCCGCAACCCCTGTCTCCATAGTTTTGCCTTCTCCATAATGTCGTATAGTTGGGCGCATACAATATGTGGCCTTCTCAGAGTAGCTTCTTTCACTTAGTAATAGGCATTTAACATTTCTCCATGTCTTTTCATGACTTGATAGATCCCTCCCTTTTAATGCTGCATAGTTGTTGTTTGGATGTACCAAAGTTTATTAATCCATTCACCTACTAAAGGGCTTCTTGGTTGCTTCCAAGTTTTGGCGATTAGGAATAATGTTGCTATAAACATTTAAGCGTAGGTTTTAGTGTGGCATAAGTTTTTAACTCCTTTGGATAAACACCAGTGAGCATGATTTCTGGGTCCTATGGTAGGATGTTTATGTTTAGTTTTGTAAGAAACCACCAAACTGTCTTCCAGAATACTTGTACCGTTTTGCATTCCCACCAGAATGTATGAGAGTTCCTCTTGTGCCACATCCTTGTCGGCCTTTGGTGGTGTCAGTGTTCCGGATTTTGGTCATTCTAATAGATGTGTGGTGGTATCTCATTTTAATCTGCATTTCTCTGATAACATAATGTTGTCTTACATTCTCTCCCAGTCTGTGTCTTGTCTTTCCATTCTGTTGACAGTCAGCGTCTTTTGCAAAGCAGAAAATTTTTCATTTTAGCGCCATCTAGCTTAGCTTCATGGGTCAGGCCTTTGGTATTGTATCCTAAAAGTCATCACCAAACCAAAGATCATCTAGATTTACTTCTGCTGTCCTTAGGAGTTTTATAGTCTTGTGTTTTCCATTTAGGTCTGTGATTCATTTTGAGTTAATTTTTGTAAAGGGTGTAAGATCTGTGTCTAGATTTGTTTTTTTGCATGTGGATGTCCACTTGTTCCAACTTTTTTGTTGAAAATACTCCACTGTATTGCCTTTGCTCCTTTGTCAGAGATCAATTGACTGTATTTATGTGGGTGCATTTCTTGACTCTCTGTTCTGTTGCATTGATATTTGTCTATTCTCTGGGCAGTATCACATTGTCTTGATTACTGTAGCTTCATAGTAAGTCTTGGAATCAAATAGTGTCAGAACTTTGTTCTTCTCTTTCAATATTGCGTTGACAGTTTGGGAGTCTTTTGCCACCATACAAATTTTAGAAGCACTTTGTCTATATTCACAAAATAATTTGCTGTGCTTTTTTTTTTTTAAGATTTTATTTATTTGACAGAGACACAGCAAGAGAGGGAACATAAGCAGGGGGAGTGGGAGAGGGAGAAGCAGGCTTCCCACTGAGCAGGGAGCCCGATGCGGGGCTCGATCCCAGGACCCTGGGATTGTGACCTGAGCCGAAGGCAGATGCTTAACGACTGAGCCACCCGGGCGCCCCTCTGCTGTGCTTTTGATTGGGACTGCAGTGAATCTATAGATCAAGTTGGGAAGAACTGACATCTTTACAATATTGAGCCTTCCTATTCATGAACATGGAATATCTCCCATTTATTTAGTTCTTATTTGTATCAGAGTCTTACAGTTTTCCTCATATGGGTCTTGTACATATTTTGTTAGATTTATACCTAAGTAGTATTTCATTGTTTTGGCTGCTAATGTAAACTCTCTGCTTTTTAATCTTTTTCATTGACAGTCCTACTTTCGTCCTTTCTGTAGTGATGCCCTCCTCCTAGGCTCATGCACCTGCTCTGAAAGTAGAGATCCCTATGGAAAGAGTAACCCAGTGGCATGAGGAGGTGTGTACGGGATCTGTCAGCTTTCAGAGTGGCCCAAAGAGAGGACTTTAATGGGGAACGTGTTTCCTCTAATTAAAATGAAGTTTCTTTGATGATATTTAGAATATAATAGCAGCCTAAGCATGATGAGATACCTCCTCCCAACCTCCCTACCTTCAAACAGGAACAAATGTTTTTTGTTTGTTTAAAGATTGCTTAGGAGAGGATTATTTGAACTTAAGGTCGTGTCTAATGAGATCACCTGTCTTCCCTTTTAAACTCAGATGGACTTGGCTAAGTTTGTGTGAGGGTTACTCAAGTGCAGTCTTGGATTCTGACCCCAGATCTGCTCATTAGAGACTTCATGATCTTCAGACTGTTCTTAAGGAATTCCGTCACTTGAAGTCCTCTGTAGCTGCAGGAGTGATGGCTCCAAGTCAGGGTAGCTTTCATCAGTCAGCTTTGGTCAGAGGATTTGGGCAGGGAGCAAGGGGTAACTGCTTAGTGACTATTTTATCCTTTTTGTACATAGAATTCAGGAGAAGCTCATTAAACGAATTCATGTTCAGTAATAGAGAATTGGTCTTCTCTGTTAATTTCCCTTGAAGTATATAAGACCAAAGAAGAAAAATGTTTGCAGAGGGAAGGGCAGGCAACCTTGACATTTTAGATCCTCAGATCTGAAATTAGTTTTCAGTTTCAAGAATGAAGGCTGATTACTTAATGTGGTATGCTTGTAAATGTTATATTTGATGTATTGTTAATTTATTGGGGAACTTTTGGACATCTACTGTTTCCAGGGCACTGCTGGTCGTGGTGGATGATGGGTAAAGCATATGGGTTCAGTCTTAGCCTCCTGAAGCTCACTAATCTGATGGGGGAGTCATTATTTATAATTTACATAAGTCATTATTTTAGTTGTGTTAAGTCTACAAAGGAAAGAAATGGGATGCCAGGAAAGCTTACTTTCTTCCCCTGACTCTTCATCCGATGGCTTGTGTGAGCAGCTCTCATTTCAGGTGGAAGCCTTGACTGCCCACAGTAATATAGGCACAGAGCCTCCCTGCCCATACTTCCATATCTAAGACTTTGTCTTTACAAGTGTTCTTCATTTAACCTGTTTCCTGTCTTACCACTCTTCCCAGGAGTGCTTAAGCATATGCCTTCAAACTCTCTGTCTCTCTAAGTGTGTAGAAGGTATCTGGTACAAAGGAATCTAGAACCTGAAGAGGTTCTAGATTGTGAAGAACAATCTTATGAGTGGGCCAGTTCCTTCATTTTCAGATAAGGAAGGTGAGGACAAAGGAAGGGAGGGACCACACCCACAGTCACATAGCAAGTTAGAGCCAGAGCCAAAACTAACCCAGGTCTTTGACTCAGTACCCCAGTGCTTTCTGTTATATTCCTGCAGGAGAGGCTTTAGTCAGCAGGGATCCATCCTCAGGAACTTTCTGTCTTTGCAGAAAGACTGAGGAGGGTGACACAACTAGAGGAAAAAAAAAACCAGCCCGCAGGGAGGGGCGGGGGGGGGGTCTATAAACAGACCTCACAAGGCCCAGGGTTGTTACTTCATACAGATTTACCAAGGGTGCCTTTTGCTGGGAGGACAGAAAATAGTATACCAAGTTCCTGTCATCAGGGAAGTCCTATTTTAGAGGAGCATAGAAGTCTAACATGTATGAAGAGAGCACCTCAGAGCAGCCTGTTAGGGGCTCAGATGCATCTCAGTGCACAGGAGGGCTCCGGAACGGGTGGAGGTGGGGACCAGTCTTCTGGGTGAGGAGAAAGGCTTTTCCTGGAGAGACGGGGAGGCAGAACTTCACTGAGACCAGGAGAAGAAAGATCCCCCTCCAGGCTTGAGGGGAAACCCAAACCAATGGCGCACGCAGGCAGTGGCCTGTGCATAGGGGCTTGGGAAGCTGTGGGAAATACATTTGGGCAGGAGCTAATCTTAGCAGATTTGGAGCTCTGGGCAGTCATGGAGAGAGTGTGGGGTCACGCTTCACTTTCTCAAGGAAGTAGCTTGATGAAAGCTGGGCTTCCGGAAGATAAGCCTGGCGTGTTTTGGGGAGCCTCCCAGAAGGCCTCCTCCGGGCCTCGCTGCAGTTGCTCAGGTGTGAAATGAGGAAGTCCTGGACGCAGGTAGTGGCAGTGGGGATTTCAAGCTTCTGTGGTGCTTGTTGGTGATAGGTGATCTGGATTACTCTCTCAGTTTAACACAAAGTATAGCTTTATAGTGATTTTTCTAGGCATGTCTAGGTGGAGCCCTCAAGATAACTGGAAAGCTGAGCGTCTGTATTTTATTTTGTAAGGTGTTTTGAAATAGATAAGAACCAATTAAGAGAACGCAAATACAAAGTGTCACTGCTTTTACTTCCAAATCTCAAGTGCAAAGTTAAATACCATTTAATTCACTGTTGCCAGTATTGAACTCTGCTTTCCTTTTTTATGTCAAGTGTTTTTCCTTTTGAGAACCCAAACATTGTAGTTTAGCTGAAGGAGGGGAGGGGCGGTCTGGTGGGAGAATTACAGCAAGAAGCTGAGAGTATCTGTATTGGCTCCTTAAGCCTGACCATCAGCACACACAGACTTAACTGCATTGTCTTCTCTTTGTCTCCTCAGGAATATAAACAGAAGCTTGCTCGGGTTACCCAGGTCCGCAAGGAACTGAAGTCCCATATTCAGAGCTTGCCAGACCTCTCATTGCTGCCCAACGTCACAGGAGGCTTGGCCCCCCTGCCCTCTGCTGGTGACCTGTTTTCAACTGACTAGGACAGGTGTCATGCCCCAGAGTCCCATCTCTACCAGCAGAAAGAAGAGGGCAAGTCATGGTTGGAAATAACCTTGTGGCCCCTGGTTCGGTCCCTCCTTCATCCCGGTCCCGCAGCCTCAAGAAAGAACCACAGACTCTGATTCTCCTCTCCGTCCTCTCTTGTTGAGCACAATTCAGAACAGTGGCGAGTGGAGTCCAGTTTAGATTCATATGTGGAAGGAATACAAGCTCTCCCACTTCATGTTTTCGTGCCCCTGTCGGTTTTCCATTCTTAGCTCTTTCTTTACACCCAAGAAGTTATGAAAATCATGTGTACTTCTGGAAGCTTTCAGAAGAATCTTGTCGCTTATCACAGCATTGTGTCATGAAAGCAGCTTCTCTTTTTGAGCTGGGCTTGTTCAAGTTCAGTACAGGCCTCCACTGAAGGACTCACTCTGGAGTCATTGACTTTCCTGGCTACCATCCACCCTGAAGGTTGGAGGCACAACTGTCAACGCAGCTTTGCCATAAAGAGTTTGCCAAATCTCATCCTTCCTTTCCCTTCTAGTGGTGTATAGTCAAAGGTGAGGTGAGGTGAGGTGCGTTTGTTTTATAAGCAGACTAGGGAATCTAGCAATAAGATTCAACGCTGATCTGGAACATAAAGTCACAGTTCAGAAACAGGAGTAACAGGGATCACAAACATGAGTTAAAAATAAGTTATTTGCTTCAGGTTCCTACAAACAACCTTCCCAGGCACCCACTGTCAGAGAAAACGTTCCTAAAAACCTGGATCTTTTGGCCCTAATCGGTTGTGAAGGCAATTGTTAGAAATGGCACTGGCGGACCCCAAAAGCTAAAGGCTTACTAAGAGTCTGGGCTCTGCACAGGTGTTGCTTTTTCGACCCATGTCTTTTGGGGAGCAGGGCTCACACTAACATTTACTTCACTGGGCACATGTCTACAGTATGGTGAGTAGACTTGAATATCTCCCTTGCGATCACGATACTCTGTGCATGTTTGTCCATTTACGCCACTGGCCCCTGCACGTGTCTTTGTGCCCGGAGGAGGAGGAGGACTCTGATGGGCTGTTACTGAATAGCTCATCTCGGGCAGAGGAAGGGGGGGAAGTCAGGGATTTTAATTTTGGGTTTTAATTCCATTATCATGCCAGCTGACATTATGACTATATAATGTACTTAAGAGAGGATTTTTACCTTGCTTTTAGTGAAAGTTAGGCCTGCTAACTGTAAATCATTCTGATTTGGCAGGCTTATTTTTGACATTGGAAAGGGCAGAAAAAAATTTGCCCCAATAGTATAATAGGAGTCAGAGCCCAGAGGCTGAAATCCAGAAGCTATAAAAAGGAATTCAGTGCGGGGTGGGGGTGGAGGGGGGGGAGGCGGGCTTCAGAATCTCCATTATTTTGAGTTGTTATTTTCAGGATTACCAAAAAGCCAATTACTTGTAATTTTACATGTTAAACATGTTGAAACATAGCCTGTGTTTTAAACGTGTGGCAGGCTTTCCTTTAAGAAGCTGTCCGGCCTGCCATGAAGTGAGAACGACGAAAAGTCTAGCAGGTGTTCAGTTTAACTCTGTGTAGAACATAGTAGCATTTAAGGTGTTTTTCGGATTTGAATATGGACCGTGGGTTGTTTGCTTATTGACACTGCCTGTTGTCCTGTCATTATTAAATTAATGAGTCTCTAACTATAAAGTTTTTCTTCCCAGAGGCCATAGGGCATTAGGTGACTTTACTAAAATTGCAAGATCAATTCTAGTCTTCGCTGTTTCTGCACATGTGCCCCCTCCTCATATGGTGTGCTGCTTTAGTCCTACGTGTGAGCTTGCTTTGGAACAGACCCATCTTGGACATTCTCTGTGCTTTCACCGAAGAAGCAAAATTTTACTAGCCATGAATCAAAAGGGTTTAGTAGATGTTTGCTCTGATCAGCTAGATGAAAATGTTATAACATGATGGATTTCACCCACTGCTATGTTTTATCTGTGAGTTTGACCAGCACTTGGTGCATAATTATTACAGCAAGAGCAAAAAATGAAACTGTAGCAATTATGTAAATGAATGTGTTGGCCTCCTAACACCTGTTACTAGTGGACTTCCTATGAGGAAGTTAGTTTTGGGTTTTTTATTTTGTTTTGTTTTTTAATGAAATGCTTCTGTTTTTTAAATCTTAATTCTCCCGTATCCTCCCCAAGTGTGCTTATTACTTCATTTGTTTAATTTAAATGAACCTTTCTTCTCCTTGTATGTATGAGGTGATCTGGTGGGGTGGGGCGGGTGGGTTTTTTTTGTGTGTGTGTGTTTTTTTCTTTATTTAGGGCATCCATAGGCCTCAAAGGACCTTTCCTTTTAGGTCATATTCCTCAGAAAGTCTTCATTCTTCTTTGTTTTGTTTTTTTCTTAAAGAATATTTTTAAAGCTTAAATTTGTATATTAATTTAGGACTTTATTTAGAAGTATAGGCTGTCATTGACGGCAGCAGTATATTCTGAAATGTCTCATAGATATATATTTTTGAATAAAGATGGTGTTGTTGAATGACATTGTGTGATATTTCTTTTCCCTGCCTTGTTACAGGACACCCGATGCTTTCTTTGTAAGCAGCGGGTAATTAGTAATCATCAATAGAGATTGTGCTGTCTGCACAGAATCTTGTCCCTTAGGAGTTTTGTGACTGTTAGTGGCCTATAAATACTCGGCACTTACATAGTATTTTCTAGTTCTTTCCAGGGGCTTAATTAGCTTTAATTAGCCAGTCCACACAGTGCCCTGGAGAGGTACCTCCATAGTTTTATCCTCATTGTACAGAAGTGGGAACCGATGGAGAGAGGTTAAATGACTTTTTCCCCAGTACCACAGTCTCTGTCAGGGTCAGACTTGGAAGTTCTTTGATTTCAGCGCTTTTGTTAACACTGCTGCGCCTCCAGAGAGAGATTTGATTTTGGCAATCCAGTGAAAGCCATTCTGAACAGTTAAAAAGAAGAAAAAAGTGAGATAATCATAAATCCAAGTGGCGCGTCTTTTAAAAACATTTTTGTGGGTTTCCTTTCTCTTTTCCTTTCACTCTCAGGGAAAGCATATTGGCTGAGCGTTGTGAGTACTTGAAATAATAGAAAACAGTTTGAAATACTGTACAGTAACTGGTTTGGAAGGCTGATTTTAACCTTTCCACTGGCTAATGGCAATATTTGCCAGAAAAAGTGGGGTTCCCCATCTCAGAATGCAAGAAGGCTGCAGTAGCTGTGGTCCTTCAAGACTAAAGTGCAGCTCAAGGCCAAGTCCAGAATCAGAGGAGTTGAAACTATGCATTGCTGAAGTTCTGCCTTAAAATATAAAGGTTGAATGAGATATGTGAATCTCAGGAGACAGAACCTCCTGTGTCCCCAGGTTTCATGGCCTACTTAATGCCTCCACTCCTACCTATAAATAGTAAGGCCATAATTCCTTGGGTTTAATTAGCACTTCAGGCTACAAAATATGACTGCGAGGTCCTGAAAGCTGAAGATGGAACTGCCTAAGAGTTCATGAATCTGTCAAAATGCTTAACTTTTGTGATTAGAGTCGTTAACTCTCTGTGACCTTCCTGGGCCAGGTACTCCCTCTCTGCCTCCGTTTTCTTACCTCTGAAACGTGGTATTGGACTAAATTATTTCTGGGTTCTCTGCCAGCCCTAAAAGCTTACGGGGGTTTTGTTGGGAGAAAATCTGCAGGACTGACGTCTGAGAATGCTGAATGGCAAATCCTAGGTTCCTAGGAACATTTGTTAGATAAGTTAATAAAACCACCGTTGTGCTCTTTTAAAAAAAAAAAGAGGGGAGCATATATGGAACCCTGGAGATTGTAGTCTACAAGGATCAGAACACAAGACACAGGGCCAGGACCAGGAAGATGGGAGTAAACACTGTTCACTGGGCACAAATTAATCTGCATTTGGTGTATTTGAGGTCTTTAAGAAAAAGCTATTTTCCAGCCTGGCTTGCTGTCTTACTTTGTGCCAGAATCATTCATCTGGCTAAACTCATTTCTCATCACCACCTCCGTGGGGTTTTTCATTTAAAAATCATTCTTCCACTCTAAGGCACAGATTCAATTAAGAATCCATTATTCTCCTGTACAGTAGATTGGGATTCACATAGCTTCATGTAGTGTTGAAAGCCCAGTTGGTTCAATTTTTTAGACTCTGAAATAGTTATTTTTCATTAAAATTTCATTTCTACCACTGGTTGGATAAACATTAAAATTAGCAGTACAAATCAGAATTTAAATAGGCAGCTGTGGCAAGTGATGACCTGCATCTGATCTCAATGTGATGACCTTGGTTAAGTCCCTTAGCCTTTAGAGACCTTAGCTGCTGCTTAAAGGGAACGAATGGGGGTGGGGGGGTTGACCCAGTAACCTCAGAAGTCCTTTACAGATCCAAAGTTCAATACGCCCAGGTTTTCAGAGGATTTCCTCCTGCCGAGAATCTTACCTCAAGTGCCCACACAATGAATGAACTCCATAGATTTTTGAATGCCAGTTATCTGGATGAATTCTTAGTTACAGAATTGTAAAGTGGTTACAAACATACCTATTAATAACTTTAAATGAATTTTTAAAAAGGGCCTAGTGCCGTGTCTGGGTTAAATTAGGGGTTCGACAGTAGCTATACTATATTCAATGATGAATGTAGGTATTTAAATGGTCATACAACAAGATGTTAAAATAGATGTTTTTTGGAAGGCAGTGATAGATCCCACATGCCTGTACCATATGCTGTGTTTACAATGGAGATGGTAAAACACCTGTAGCCCACTTAAACTTCCTCACGCACATGGAGGGTAGAAAAAAGTCAAGAGTTAGAGCTGAAGGAGGGGGACTTGGGGTGCCGATTTCTTGGGAGAGAGCCATTGATGTTTTGAGTCCCCAAAGGGAGAGGAGTGGATACCAGCTTCCCCTTACCTTCAGGCTAGGGAAGAGGGCTTCAGCGGAACTTAATATGTATCTCCTGTAGGGTGACAATCCAGTGCACAGGACAGACCCCTGCCTGGAAAAAACCTAAAGGTTCGGATGCCAGTAGCAAGGTGCTTTGATGATGGAGCAAGGGAGAGGTTGGCTGGGTTGGGTGCAGCCTCTTCTAGAGTTTGTCAGGCAAGGGATGCATGTCTGTCTCCCAAGGACTAGGTGTGGGCTGTATGCAAGAGAACTGGCATGGAGTCATCTCAGATCCTAACCAAGAAGGCGAGGGCCCTCCTCAAGGTGTAGTGCTGAGGAGGAGAAAGCTAAGAGCTGGAGGTGTGCATAGAGAGAAATGTTAAGGAATGGGTACATGCAGTTGTGGGGGACTTGGTAAGTCCAAAATCTGTAGGGTAGGTCAGCAGCTGGAGACCCAAGAGAGATTTGCCTATGAGTCCACAGGCAGTCTGCTGGCAGCATTTCTTGCTCAATCTGTTTTAGTTCGTAAGTCCTTCGACTTATTGGATGAGGCCCACCCAGGTAGAGGGTCATCTGATCCTTCAATTTAAATGTTATTCTCTAGCTAAAAGCACCCTCACAGAAGTATCCAGAGTAATGCTTGACCAAAGAGCTGGGCTTTGTGGCCTAGCCCAGTGGATACATAACCATCACACTTGCCGACACTTTATTTTCCATTTTAAAGATTATAGCTATATTTGTGTCCTGGGGCTCCACAAGAAAGTACCAGAAACCAGGTGGCTTAAAACAACAAATTTATTGTCTCACATTTGTGAGATGTTTGCAGGCCCATGCTCCTTCCAAATCCTCTAGGAGAGGTTCCTTCCTTGCTTCTTCCAGCTTCTGGTGGCTCAGGCATTCCTTGGCTTGTGGCAACATAACTCTTACCTCTGCCTCTGTCTTCACATGGCCACATTCCCCCTATGTCTTTGTCCAAATTTACCTCTTTTTAGGGCCAACCCTGATGACCTCAACTTGATTAAACCTGCAAAGGCTTTATTTTTAAATAAGGTCAGAGTCACAGATACTGGGACTTAGGCTTTTAACCTATCTTTTTTAGGAGGGGACACAATTCAACCCATTATTAGTAGCCATCCTGGTGGGTATGACG